ATATTTTCACTAGTTTCGTTGTGACGCTTGTGCAAAATTTTTAAAGTTTTTATAAAGTAATTTTTCTATATTAGGAACAACAAAATGGTGAATCCGCCTAGAAAGTATTTCATGCAAATTTGGTTAACTAAATTTGTAAATTTATATACCGCTAAATGTAAAAGATGAAATATCCTATAACGAGATGCATAAACTTATTTTGAGTTCCTCTGGCACATGAAATTTCATGCACTTATTTTACAAACCGAATTTTTATTGCAAAATATTCTGTAATAATTTTATTTAGAATTATTAGAATATTTGTACTTAACATTATTTTTCTTTATTTGTTACGGAAATGTTATTAATCTTAAAAATAGGATTTTTATATATAAAGTTGCAAAAAAGCGGTTAAAACTGCAATCCTTAACAGCTTTCATTTTATTATTCGTTTTTTTTACAAATCCTTGCAATTAATTTATATTTTATGTAAATAAATGTAGGTATGTATGTACATCATAAGTAAACAATGAAAAGTGAGAAATTTAATTAATCATTGTGTGAAATGCATGTATTTAGCGACCATGTTTATTACAATTTGTATAAATAATTACATATTTTGATAACGACATCCGTCATTTTCCCGCATTATTTTGTTAACATTTTAAACTATGTAGACATAATAGATGTTGTAACATTTTGTAATTAAAACTTATTTTAATAGGTTAAATCTAACACAATGTATAATTGTTTTATATGTTATTCTTATTTAATATTATGCACATGCTATTTATATTATGGAATTGCTATTAATGTTAAAGAAGGTTTTTCAATCATTGTGTCAATTTCGAAAAAATTATTTAGAAATAGAATGTATATAAAACAAAAGCAATAGACCGCAAAAACACATTAAATATAATAAACGTTTCGGATTGGTAACCTAGGTTAGAAATCTAATTTCATATAAAAAATGTTAAATGTTAATATTAAATTATTGTTGATTTGTTAAAAATTTATTGAAATTTTGTTGATTCAACACTTTCCTATTATCAGTTGTCATATATCAATTCAGCATACAATTATAGGAATACATAAATTTTACCTAGAGATTAACGCGATATATTCTTAACTCTCTTATTTTTTCCTTCCGGTGGAGAAAATGTCTCAAAGCCACACGCATTATACTGTTTTTCAAATGCAATTAAATAGAACCAATATTTGCACCTACGCATTTTTAATATTCAGTGTGAAAAATTTTGTTTTTCCATTTTGTTATGTAAGTTTTTCCTTCAGAAATACTTTGTATGTGGGATTATGACAACATGACATTGAAAAGTAATTTTTGTATTGATAAACTTTAATTCTTAGACTTTAGCTAAACTATAACATACGCGCTGTTTTTTATTATAAATGCAATGATTTAGAAATGTCTCCGGCCTTTTTGACTGACGTCACATTTAAATAATTAAAACTATTTTATAATTTAAAAAATTAAAGTTTTAAATTGAATTTTAATAAAATCTTATCTTCAAAAATTTTGATATATTTGTTTTATTTCATTTCATGAGTGATTGCATGTGATAGAGGCAGGAAGTTTTAAAATTCTAAGCATAAAAATCTCATACCCCTATAGTATTTAAATAATTAAAACTAAATTGGGGGATAAAGAAATTGAATTCTGAAAGTTGCCAAAATTGACTTTAAATTGAATGCCATAAGGGTGTATTCAAAAATAAAATTAAGTACCGTCAACACACAGGTTTTAAAGCTGTTCCGTTGTATCGAAAGTTATATACTGACCAAAATTTCATTGAAGCTTAAATTTTGATCTCTCCTTGCCTTTCAATTCGGTTTGTATTACAATTTTTTTTAAAACTGTTTGTCGTTATAGAAGCATTCATGTATGGTATAAGTTTTCTATGGTAAGTAAAGTAAAATATTTCGAAACAAATTGAAAATAGAAGAAGAATAAAACTTCTATTTCGAACAAAATACTTTACCGTATTTTCTACTTATCTAAATGCAAGATGAGAATTTTTTTGACTGTTTAACTTGACGACTCTTGAAGCATACTTAATATGGCATAGCATAGATAAACAATTACACAAAAAAAAAAAAAACTCAAAACTAAAGAGATTTTCTTTTTTTAATAAAATCTCTGTTTTTTAAACGTAAAAAATTCATATGAGTGACTTGAAAGAAAAAAAACGTAGAACTATAAAGGATATTCAAAAAAAAAAAACGTAGCATAAAATAGTTTACTTTTAGATAGCAATGTGTATTTCTAAAAATCCTTTTTTCTTAATTTCTTTTATTGCAGTATTACCTGTAAAACTTTGAAATCACGAAGGTAAAAAAGAATATATAAATCGAATAAAAATGGATAAGCAAAAATGAAATTCAAAAGCAAAAAGAATGAATTGAATTTCGTACAATATATGAGCTTTCCTTTGACTTTTAATCTACAATATTTGCTTTTATAGTTGCACACTACTTTCAAAAATTGATTGTTAATTTGAGCTTTAAAAAATCTTTTATTCTTTTACAGCCTATACGCAAAACTTCATTAAAAATTCTCTCTTTGTTATCTTACGTATGGATTTGCTTTGGTTACCAATCTATATGTGTATAGTATAGTAGTATTTTTAAAACTCAAAACGATTGGAATAAAAATAATCCACCCTAGTATATTCGTGTTACCTTTACTAAGTATCACTTTCAATCTTAAACAATATTTACACATATTCGAATTGCATATATGAATATTGCGAGATATCAATATGCTTCTTGCCTGTGTTTAACTTCCATAAAGTGGAAAAGCGAATTAATAAAAAATCTTATCTACGTATATACAAATGTGTATGTAAACTCAAACTTTTAATACCATTTTACTTCTTTGCTTTGATTCTTTGCAAAAATGTATATTTGACCCGTTGTAAATGTCCAGTTGCTGATGCCTGATTTCTTCCAAAAGTTAGGAATTTTTGCGGACGGTCGAGAAAAGCTTATATATGAAATTTCAAGTAAATCGGTTGAATACTTTCTTCAAAATGTTCAAAAATGTAAAACAGGCCCGCTAAAAAGTGCAGTTCCCGAGGCCTGATATATCAGGCCAAAAGTTGATCAATCCGTGCCATGGTGGAAATAAACTTACATATAAAATTTCATCAAAATCGGTTCAGCAGAACTTGAGATACTCGCGTGCACACACAGACCGACAGACCGACAGACCGACGGACCAACAGGTTGCTAAAAATAGTTTACTTACACTTCCCTACTATGGAGAAGTGCATTCCCACCGAAAACTCGATATGCAAAATTTGTTGCCATCACATAACCTACCTATTGTTTACACAATACGGTCGGTAAAAATTAGGAGGAGGAAACTGTTATAGAGTCTAAGTTTTCAGGTTCCCAAAAATTTGTGAATTTAGAGTACATTTTTAGTGTGATACCTAAAAGAAGACATTACAATAGAGGCGGTCCATTCAGAATAGTCGAATATTTCAATTTTAGTAAGACGAACATGAATTATAATATTGATTTAATTGCATAAATTTAGACGTTTCATTAATTTATTGTTTAAATTCTATCCTGTTAGTTGTGAATGCGTCTTTATCTGGTTTACTTGATATATGTGCAATCAGCTTGAAACGCAAAACACTATATATTTCCACAAATCGCATACAAGTAAATTCATATATTATTTTTAACTCCTTATATCATATGTATATGGGCGGTCTATAACATTTGTAAATATTTTATTTTAAATGAGGAAATTGTAATATCCTTAAAAAATACATGATATTATCCTTTTACTTTTCCTATTTATTTTGTTTATTTTTACCTGTAGAAACAATCGAATGTAAAGCAATAGTTTAATAACAGCAACAACACAAAATAAAAAGAAAAAATGCAAATATTTCCTTTTCAAGGAATATTTCTTTTTCTTCTCTTATTTCAATACATAATTATTAAATTGAATTTCTTTCCAATTAAGGAACTCGTCTGAATAGGTTTGATTTAATTATGATTGCTACTTTATAGAAAAAAAAAAAATATAATTAAATTAAATTTTAATTAATAAATCTGCATTAGAATATTTTTTTTTAATGAACTTTAATTTAATGTAATAACACTAGATGTGGTAGATCACTTCCGTTTTTTCATCACTGTAATAACGTGTTAAGAATAACGACAAGAATATTAAAATATTTCACGCTGCGTTTAATGTGGAGCTTTTAGTGCAGTTGAATGAATTTTAAAATAGTTTTTGTAATTTAGTTGATTAGCAGGAGAATCGATGAAAAGATTAGAAAAAATGAATGGTAATTAAAAATCATAACGATATGATAAAATTACACGATACAAGAATGAAATGCATCCTAAGAAAGGATTCTATTTATCCACAATATGATATTACTCTTTTTACACTCTTCAAGTTTTATTACTACTATTTCAGAGTCAAAGTACTTGAGTTCCTTCAAATAATATCATAAAAACAGTTTTACACAATAATTTATTTAAAATAAAGAAGTTGATGTCAATATGTTCGCAATTAATTCAATTGTAAAATTTGTTTGAAATTCAACTTTTGTGATATTATAAGCAGTCTTGTGCAGTACTAATTCATGCAAATACATATATTAAGTAAGCATACATTTCTTATTACCAGTTCCACGATATAGGATTCGGTACTTACGTCAGTTCGATGGAAACATGAATTTATTTTTAAATAAGGAAAATATCAATATTTAAAGTGTTAATAACTGACTTTTGTAAATGACGTCATTTAAGACAATTAAAACAGAACCTTTGTATTTAAATTCCTTCCTTTTTGAAAAATTAACTACAATAAGAAACTAACACTTCTATATTTCATATACTTATGTATTTGAAAAGGTTTTATAACATTAATTCGGAAGAAAATTTTCCCTATTTATCTTTATTGTTGATAAAAATTAGGGGAAACCAAATTTAAAAAACTAAAAAAACTTATGAAAAATTATAAAAGAACTTACATTTTTAAACCATGAATAAGACGCTACGGGTGGTCTAGCATTTGCTCTACACTTAAGAGTTACATTTTCTCCTTCAGCTCTTATCACAACACGACTACGATCTTCATTAGCCAAATGCACCGAAACTGTTGGTGGATCTGTAAAATTTGAAAAGAGACAAAAATAAAAAATATTTTTTGTTTTTTTTTGTTTTTTTATTTTTTATTTATTATTATTGTAATCCGTTTAAAATGTAGAATGCATAAGAACATTGAATGTAAAGAAAAATTCATAATCGTTTGCATAAATTGTCGAACTGTGTGCATCATCTGTTAAAAGTCATTGCAATTTGGAGAGAAAAATTCAAATAAAAAAAAAAATTTAAAATTAAAACTTCAAAGAGAACAGGATTCATAATCCAAAGCATAAAGAATGATTTTGTTTTCGTTTTTTTTATTGCACTCTAAATTTTCTTTGATTTTTCTTTTATATTTATTTTTTCAATTATGTCTTAAAATAAATGGAAGCAAGTGCAAAACATTTCCGTTGAAAGGAAATGTAAAGTCATTTTCCCAGAAATCATTTACCATACGTACACTATATTACTTAGGGGAATTTTATGTATACGATATTTATGATGAGAGTCTTTTCGTTAAAGTGTTTGTTATTTATATATTTCAAAATTTTATCAAAAAATTTTTGTTTATCTGTCTTTTGTTTTTTGGTACTATCGAGAAGTTTTGGTTTCTCTTTCGAAAACACCACCGAATTGACCTTATTTCTAGATTTGATACTGTATAGCGCATACGCGCTTGTGTTTAAATTATTTTCAATATTTTATATTTTGCACAATTCTGTCCTAAATTACGATTATGTGTAAATTACCTTTTCCAGGGACAAACGCTATAAGCGTTTTTATTTGTGTATTTTTCATTCTTTTCGTTTGAACTAGTGTTTCTATGCAGCCCTTGATACAAAATTTTATATAAATTTCTAAAAATCATGTAGTTATATCTTTTTCTGATAATAGTAGTATGAAAAATCGCATTGAATTGCTAAAACAAAAACTTTCAAGTTTTCCGAAAAATTATTTTAAAATTTCGTTTATGGTCAATTTTAATTACGCTACCGTTTCGATTAACTTGCTAAATTTTAAATACATAAGAAAATAAATTTATTTACGTAGAAGAGGAAAAAAAACATAAAATATTTTTTTTTTTTAATTTTAAATAATGTTGATGAAAATTAACACCAAAAGCGTAATTATTTTGTTAGTTTGGTTAAAAAACGACAAAAATATTTTTGAAGAAACAAAATAAAACTTTTTTTGAAATTTTTATTTCAGAAAATTGTCAGTACTTGAAACACTTTTGTGTGCTTCTCTTTGTTTAATTCTGCCACCTAGAACTCTCTTTTTGGATTATTCAATGAAATGAGTAAAAAATATGAAAAGACTTGCTAAATTCAACAGTACATTTCAGGTGTTTAATCAGTGTTCGTTTTCGTAATTTTTGCAGAGATTGTTGCCGAGCTTACATACTCGTAACGTAGTCAAAAACAGAGAAATATTCTTATTTTTCCAATTATTTTATTGAAGTTTTCAACTGAAATTAGCAGACTTTTTAGGAACTATATTTGTTTATTTTTATACCCGTACGAACGTATGTTCGAAGGGTATATTAAATTTGCCTCACCGTTTGTAACGTTGAGAAATAACGGTCTTAGATATAGACTCAAGTGTATGTTTTTGATCAGCGTCGAATTCTGAGTTGATTTAGCTTTGTCTGTCCGTCAGTCCGTCCGTCCCAACGATATCTCAAAAACTAATTGAGCTAAGTTCACCAAATTTTCACAAATGATTTACTGTAGTAAGTGCCAGAACCCTTTTTAAATTGGACATGATCGGGGTACCGGTTCGGGTAGCTGCCATACAACTTCAAAATTTATTTGGCTCTATCTCAGAAACTATAAAAGCTGTAATATTGATATTTTACACAAGCGAATATATTAGTAGGGCCGATGTGCTTGAAAAAATTCGTTAAAATATTTTGGCTCTTTCTGGTAGCTGCCATACAACTTCAATAGTAGTGGGCACACAAAGTATTTTGAAAAACACAGTACTGAAATTTTGCATAAATTAATATGCTAATACGGCAACTTAAAGTCATTGTCTGTTCCATAGTCAGTTATGGTTTATTTATTCGCACATAGGATAACTAATTCGTACGGGTATCACAGAGTTGACAAGGTCAACTCTATTTTTTCTCGTTTATTGTTATATTTCTGTTAAATCCGTATATACATGGGTCTTGTCTCATATTTTTTAAAAATTTGGCTACAAACTAAATGTTTTCTCTCAATTTGAGCTAAGTTTTTTAATTTGTGCTAATGTTTTTTATTTTGTTGAAATTTAATAGTTTTCAGAACAGTTCAGAAAAACATACTAATAATTTCTTTAAAAATACCATACCGTTTTGATGAACTTTAATAAAATCATTTTTGAAAACATTTTATTTATGTTCTTTAATCCTTATTTCATTATAAAGTTCTCAAATAAATAACACAATATTGTTGTGTTAATTCGTTCAAAATTTTTCAAGAACTTTATTGTATATGTTATGTAGGTACTACAATTTTTGTTCTACTTATATTAAAATTTCGCTTATATTCACGTAGATATTAAAATACTTTGAAATTTTCTCACATATCATTTCTTAAATTTCAATTTTTAATATAATTTTATTCTAATATAATAGAAATTATATCATGAATACAGAATTGTTAAGCAGAACGTGATGAAACCTTTAGCAAATACAACCTTTTTTCCCCACAAGCGTATATTGCACACATATATAAAATATAAAGTGACTATAGGATGTAGATTGTTTTATTGTTATAAACTTTTCTAACCTTTCTCTTTAAAAAATGTTTTCTTTAAATATTTTATACATTATGAAATACATGAGTTTATCGGGTGAAATGAAAATTATTTTTCTGAATTATTTTTATGAATTTTCCATTTTTATAAATTATTGTAATTTAATTAAGAATTTAGGGATTAGAAAATCGGATGGGTTCCTAACAATGTGTCGGGATGAAATTGTCTGATGGCAGTCTACACAAGTTGTTGGAGGAGCGAGCGGCTAGGTTGGAATTACCCTTCAACACATCGTGTTTAGCTAGGTGGCTTGGATGGGACACCTGTTATCGTAATTACAATGACGGTCTGGTTATCACGGGATAGTGGTAGCAAAATGGCAAATTTGTGCTAACAAGGGCGCGATGGACCTACTGTACCAACCTCGACAACCAACGAACCAATCAATGTATGCGATAGTATTAAAATGGTTTAACAAGTTCTTAATGTAATATTTTTCAAAATTCATTACACAAAATGATATTCTAAAATTTCAAATTTTTATTTTAAACTCAAACTGCAATTGCAAATTTCTTTGAATTTTATTCTCCGTGTAGGGAAAAATACGCAATAGACGTGTATTAAAATGGTTGTACATAGTTTTATTAATACAATAAAATCAAAATATTCATTTGTTTCTACGAAAATTCCTTAAAAATATTTTATTTTAACTTTGTATATGTATGTATATGATAATATCATAAATGTTTTATCCTAATCAAATTAATTAATTTTGTGAATTGGTTTATATCTAGATATATGAATGATTATGTCAAAACCTTTTTAATTTTCCCTAGACTCCTATATAATAAAAACTAGAAGAACAAAATTCTAAGAACAAAATTTCCTTATATATTCTCTTATAGTATATAATGTAAAGAATGCGTGTTAAATATACAATGTATACAAAAGGATTGGAATTAGCTTAAAATATTTGCTTTTTTTTTATTTAATTTCTTGAAAAAGAGGAGAGAAATTATAATTGATCTGAAAATATTGGAGTATGGAACGAAAATTATAATATAATTTACTTTGAATATTCTTCCTTAAATTATTTTAATAGAGAGAAAAAAATCTACAAAAAAGGATTAAAAAAAAGAAAAAAAAGAAAACAGAAGTAAGAACAAATAAAGAGAAGAAAAAGGAAATTCTTTTTGAATATTATTCCTTAATTTGAATTAGCAATTAAAGGAAGAAAGGAAAATTACATTAATATGTCACGATCTCTTAACATAATAATCCATTTAATAGAGAATTTATACTATATTTACCATAATTTTTTGGCAGAAAAGAAAAATTCACGGATATTGTATTATCCTTGTTGTAAAATATCCTTTTTTTACTTAAGGGAATAATAATACATTTATTTGATACATAGATATCCATATAAGGACATAATAATATTATACTCATGCATAATATATGTATATAAATATAGAAAAAATTAAATTATATATTTTATATTTCTATAAAAAAATATTTGTATATATTAAGATATTTCACGTCTGTGTATAGTCAAGGAGATGAGAAAATAATTTAAGATTAAAAGAAAAATATTTTTTTTCGTTTCTTTTATAAATTTTCAATCCAGATTATTAGATAACCTCGAACATTTTAATGTGTGTCGGCATGTATAGAAGCACAAAATAAGACCGGAAAAAGAAAAGAATAAATTATGCTAGAACACTATGCACTTATGGTATTTTCCTTTCATTTTTTAAAAAAAGCAGAAGAAAATCTGTTTTTTTTTTCTTTTCAAAATTGTTAAAATTTTTATAAAATAAGTTGTTTAACCATATGTGTTAAATTTTAACACACTTTAAAGTTATTTGAAAATGTGCAATATTTTCATATTAAAAAATTTTATTGGACTTGTTACATAAATTTTTAATAGGTTGCAAGTGTTTTTAAAATTTTTGAAAAATTTCACTGTAACTCAACTATAATGAGTAAAAATAAGTATAAGCTGTGATAAAATCCTAAAGGCTATGAAAAAATTTTATAATAAATAAGTAAATGTAAATAAAACTAAAATTTTTGCAAGTTCTAATATTCAAAAATATTGTAAGCTAATACTGATTTTGTCCAACAAAAACTGTATCTGTATAATCATAAATAACTTATTAATATTATGTAATATTTAAGTTCCAAATTATACGAAAAATAAAATTTTCCTCTTGGAAAAGATATTCTGTTTGGCCCCACCTAAGATTCTTCAATATAAAGATTCTGCAATAGTATATTCTAAATGCTTTTGATCTAAAACACTTTTTGTGTAGAATTTCCCTCATGATATACAAGTAAATGACCAATACAGTAGAAAAACTTATGATACCCAAAATCCAAACGATCAATTAAATTTTATGTTTTTACATGAATTCATTACCGAAGGTCACATAATAACCCTCAAAATTTAATATCAAATTAACACAATATAAATCACAATATCGAATCATAATTTGAAAAGTAAATTTAAATTTAACATTATTTTTATCCAGGTGTGCGTCAAATTCAAGGACTATTACAAAAATGTATAACATAAAATTCAAGTTCAAATTTTCTTATAATTTTCTCTTTATATATATAACATCTAAGATTTTCTAAACCAAAATTGTATGACCTACAAAGTTACGAGCGTATATTACTATATGTATAGGTGAATAACACATAAATACAACATAAATATTATGTTATGTACAAAAATTATATAAGAAAATTTTGTTCATATTCAACACACATTTTACTTTCTCATCTCCTTAACTCTGTAACTTTTTTTTGGAAGAAATAAGAAAGAGTAAAAATGTAAAGTAAAAAACTCCGAATATCCACTACATTACTTGTTAAGCTGTTCATACAACAGAATTACAATATATAATAACATTGAAAAGATATTGAATGAAAAAAGATAGGGTTGATCGTGTCGTTTCTGCGATACCTATAGAAATGTTTTTCAAGGTTATTATGAAAGCTGGGAAGAAATTCATAAAGATTCTATGAAAATCTTTTGCTGAATTCTAGCTCTATAACTTAATTTTTGTTTCGTAGTTTAAATGCTGAAGATATAACCAAGTTGTTTTTAAATTCATATAGTTGCTTTTTTAAGAACTTACACAATTGTAACTAAATTTTTTTTGCGCGAAAACTAACCTTAATAATTTATAAGAATTTGCTAAGCCTGATTTAATGAATTTTTAACTTATAACAGCGCTAAGACAAACGTACAATTAAACAAAACTGAATCGATTCGGGATTATACACCATTATTAATGATGTAATATTAATTTATGGCAATATCTCAGACATCTATTTCTCGTGATTGCAAGTGGAATGGTAAGTTTATAATACCCAACGCATTATAGTTTGTTGTCAATGTGCACCTATCTATACGTGAATGAGTTCTAATATGTAAAATATGAAAAATTGTACATAAAAATTACTTGAAGAGGTACTGTAATAGTATTAAATAATATTATATACTTACATGCTACACTGATTATTCTTTTATCCTCAATGGATCCACCTGAAAACCAAGGATTTGATGCTCTACACGTGAGCTCAGCATTATTATTATCTGATGTCACCCTCAGTGTCAGGATACTAGTTGTTATATTTGAATCCTGTTACATAAGTACAAAAGTTTTCATATTATATTCAAAAAACCATGAATTTTTTTTTTGTAAATATTTAAAAAAAAAAATTTATAATCTAAATTTGCTACATATCTGTGTCATATATAATATTTATTACATGTATGTATATATATAGATACCTATATTATACATAACATCATGTAAATATTTCGATGTGAAAATGTTATACAAAATTATAATATATTTTTAAGAATGTTTACAAGGACGATATTCATAAATATTGTACAAATCGTTATGGTAAACACATAAAGGTGTACATATTATTATTATATAGCTTGTAGTTATGTGGTTGATATTATACATTTATGCATTTACATAATGAAAAGAGAAAGAAGAGAATATTGTATGATTCTTGTGTACATATATATACATATGTTATGTATATACCTTCGTTTAAATTAATGTTTACAATGTACATGTGCATTTTACATAGAATATTTGCATATTTTATTACATGTACGTATATGGTTTTGGTATATTATAATTGTGTACTTTAAACCAGTATATTTCAATGTTAATATGGGAAATATCATAAAAGTAAAGTGACTGATATATGGTTTATGAAAATTTTTTGAACAGGTAACTATAATCAACTGTAAGTTGACCACGTAAAAGTTCTAAAAAAAAAATTTCCAAAACAATATCTGAAGCTCATGTACTCATAGAGTAAATATTGTTTGGCTTGCGGATGTGCAAAATAATAATACCATAAATTATATTTTCTAAATATTCGTAGATATTCAAATAATTTTTTGTTACTGTGTGTTGAAAGTTTGTTAAAATTAAAATTTTGATAGTTTTACACGAACATATAAAAATACGAAATAAAATAATGTAAAAACCCTTTCAGGCTAAATTAATTAATATTTTACAACTATTATAACCTATATCGTATTATTGTTTACATAACACGTAAAATATACTTTAAGTAAAATAATTTTAAATAAAATAAATTTGATTTTAAAAATAGCTTTAACAAAAAAATACAAGATTTTGCCATTATTTTGCACTTCGAATGAATCTATTAAAATCTGAGCCACTTTGAGTTATAAGGTGCCATGATTAATGCAATTTCATGTTAACAAGCAACCTTATAATTTCTTCATTAACGATAATTCCCTTCATAATACAAAAATCTCATGCAATAGTCTAAAGAAATTTTGTTTTCGAATTTGACTCCGCATATTAATTACTTTGTGAAAATTCTGCCTCAGTATATAAATTATATATAATTTAAAGTGCTAATAGCACCTAACACATTAAATTATTTTACAATAGTAACACAAATTACTTCTTTATCATTATGGACTGTAACATCAGCATTACGTATTGGATCACCATCTAACAACCATGTAATTTTAGCTGCTGGATACGAGCCCCATGACTCACATCTTAAAGGCACTGGATGGCCAGCTGTTAATAGATCATTTGGTGTCACTATTTTAACTGTTAATGGTTTTACTGTAATAAATTTATTTAAAACAGCATTAAGTCTTTAAAATATTCTCTACAAATTTATAAATAATTTCTTTTTGTATAACACATCAACTTACAGTGAACTTGTATTGTAACTTCTTTAACAACTGGCTCTATTAATTTTGATCCTTGAGCTCTACACTGTAATTTTGAACCATAATATTCCCTAGTTATTGTTCCAATGAACAATTGATTTACTACTGCTGATGATACTTCATCAGCTGAAGGTTGACTACTACCAGCTATTTCAACATCATCACGCCACCACGTTACCTTTGGACGAGGTCGTCCTTTTATAATATGAAATTGAAAAAAAAAAGAAATTGAAACAAAATTTACAACAAATTTTTTAAAAATATTTTTTTTTCTTAAATTAAATTTTACCTCCACTAACTTCACATGAGAGAAAAAGTTCATAACCTTCTCTAAATGGACCTGCTATTTGTGATATTTCTTTACCCTGTGAATCGAATATTCGGGGTTCCTCGGGGGGAACTAAAAATGGTGAAACAATAAAATAATACAGTTAAATTTTTAATAACTATTTCATGCTTTTGTAATATTATAATTCTCTGTTCGAAAATATTTTTAAATTCTTTTATTAAATTTGAAAATATTTTTAATTAAAATATTAAACTTACCTACTAAAGTTAAATTAATTCTAAAATTTCGTGTCGGTGAATTAAAAAAATCTACCCTACATCGATATACACCGCCATCGATTGGCTTAACATCACGTATTTGAAGACGTGCATCTTTTGGGCTGTCCGGTATTGTAAAAAACAACCTTTGACCTAAATCGTTAGCTATTGCTGAATGTGTTGCTAATTTGATATTTCCTTTTCTGGAGTCCAGACTACATTATTTTTTTTAATTTTTATAAAGAAAAATTATAATATTTTTATTAAACCTAAAACATATTGAAAAATTAAAGGAAAGGTGAAAGGAATTAATAATATTATTATCCTTAAAGCAAGAATATTTTTGCTTAATATAGGATAATATAGAAAAGTAGGTCTGTATCTACAACTATATACCTATATAATATGTACAAGCGTGAATATTTTATTTTAATTAAATTTGAACGAAAAGGGTTTTCTTTTCTGTGACAAATAATATTTTCTTAATTAAAGAAATTATTAGGGTAACCAAAGTTATAAAGAAAAGTAAATATTTTACTATAGCTGTCGTGATCTAGAATACCCGTGATATAGAGAAATTATTAGGGGATTCATATTATATAAAATAATTTGAAAAATAAGTTTTAAAAATGAGTGTATTATATCTATGTACGGGTATTGATTTCGAAATTTAGATGTGCTTCAATTTTTAAACAACTATAAATTCTTTGTATTGAAACTACTAGTATTACATACTAATTACAAAAATTTCAGTTGAGTCAAATCGGGATGTCTTTGTGTCTAGGACACAAGAGAATTGCGAAAGAAAAAAATTTTTTTTGAGTAATTCTCCCATTCTTTTTGCCTTGATTATTCAAATAGTTTTTATTATATAATAATTTTGGCGTTCTTAGAAAATGAGCTTGACAACCCTAAAATTGAATATTTTTTATAACTTCCTCAATGATTACAATAAGGTCAACAAAAATTCTTTGCTTTTCTGTTATATTTTTTTTTCCTTTTGTGATATTATAATATATTCAGACTTTTTATCAAAAGAAAAAAAAATCGAAAAATTTCATGGTTTTTTTTTTCTTAAAACATTTAATTTATTCTCTACAAGCAGATGAAATAAAGGGAAAAAATAATGAAAATTCAAAATATACAGACAAAATCTTTTTTTTTTTTTTTATATAACAAAAAATGTATTTTGTATATAGAGATTTGTTTCTATGTGCATATTATGTATATGTGTACATAGGCGCGTCTATAAAATATGCATATACTTGTATATTTTTTATTGTACGTAATACTTGCCTGTATAAAGGAATGCCTGTTGTGTCCTTGAACCATAGCAGCAGTTTTACAGCATCTTGAGAATTTGGAGGGGTTAAATCGCATGGAAGATCTGCATTTTTGCCAAGTGCTGCCCAAACAACTCGTGCTGGAACTGTAAAAGAAAAAAAAAAGAGAAAAATATTTTAAGTTCATTTTTGTTTTTCTTTAAAAAATATACAAAAAAAAAAATGTTAAATGAAAATTTTCTTAAAAAAAAATAAAAAAATAAAAGAATACAAAAATTCTTTTCGCGTAAACATGTTCTTTTTTCCGAAAAGAAAACATATAAGTAAAAAAAATTCAAAAAATGTGAAAATTATCTCTTTATTTTAGTTTTAAATTTAGATGTTTATACTGGTAGCAGCCGCATTGCACTTATTTTTAAACAACCATCGCTATGTATGTAGAATTCAGAAAGAAGCAAGCAGCAATTGCATTTTAAAAGTAGCAAAAAGTCATTTTTAATTTCTTTTTTGTTTTTTTTTAGTTTTCATGTATTCTTATGTAACATACGCCAAAAACGATTTGATTAGATTTTCAAATAATCATGTAGCATTTACATTAATACAATAAAAGTTTGTCATATATGCACATACGTAGAATGTACTTGTGTAATTGCAAATATGTTGAACTAAAATACTTTTGTTTTTTCAGATTTTGATCTTCTTGCTTTTCTTAATTTTATAAATTTTTGTTTTATTTTTGAATTTTATAGCGATATGCATACTAACAAGCTGGGATGATTCGAAATTTTTGGAAAATTTTAAATTCTATTTCATATAGTAGACATATGATATGATATTATTTATATATTATGTATATTATGTACTTATGTTTTATAATGATGCAAATGATGCAAACTGTCTAGTGTACAAAAACTTTATTTTTCATTTATTTTAGAGTCTGTACGTCAATAAGTAAAAATTCTTATGCATTCCAATAGAATGATAAATTTAATCCTTTGTTTAGAATGCTTTTTAATTTTATAGACCATTTATATGGCAAAACGTATTAAGTCGACAATTTGACATAATTAATTCAAGCATAATTAAACATTATTTCATGTAGATTATGTTATTGAGAAAATCGTAACGTAAGTTTAGAACTATACACTTTCGCCATTTAAGATTGAAAATTTTCGAGGTCATAGTTTACTAATACTTTATATTCGAGTTAAAAACAATAAAACAATAATTTTTCTTTATGTAAACCTTAACTGAAAAAAATCTTAAACATACTTATAACAACATACTTAAACAATGAAAGAGAACCTTGTAATATCAATATCAGAGGAACATTTTGAATGACACAAAATAGACAAGTTATTTTGAAGAATATTCCGGTCGCGCATTAACAGAACAAAATAAATGAGACAACACTAAGTGAAAAAGTAGATATAAAAGGATGGTAATAATAGATATAAAAGGAAACCATTACCGGCAGGTCGGTGGTATATGTTAACTTTTTAGGACCCATTTAATTTTTATAGACAAAAATTTTATTTGCGACAAAGTGCGTTCTTAATATGTATTTATTTTAACACCAATAAAGTGTTTTCATTTTGCTGATTGGCAAAATTCTTTATGTATTATAGCTTCTACTCATAATAATTTAAACAATAATATTATTGCTCCTTTAACTTGTTTTCTAAAAGCTATGGTATTATATCACTTACAAAAGATCTTATAAGGTTTCAGTATAATATATATGCAATTTCCTGCTAAATCAATTTCTTAAAGAAGTTCTTAAATCTTAATTTATATTTAAAGAATAAAAGAATTTTAAATAATTTAAAAAATTTCTGCTTGATATTCTTGTAAAAGTTGGTGATTTCTTCAAAATTTCAAAAAAAATTAAAATTAAAAATTTTTGTAGAAAATATTTTCAGACCCGTTAGTTGACTGGATCAACGATAGCATACTGAAATGGCATTTTCCAAATTTCAATGATGTTCTCCTTTGTTTTGTGTTTTTTTGTTTTTGTAATTCTTCATCATTGTGGTATTTTCAGTGTATGAATGAAGATAAAACTTTTTTTTCTGCTATTTAAATCAAAAACTCTTATTCTTTTCACGCATCCGTTATTCTTTTTTAATATCACTTTCATTTGCATTTTTCAAGAGGCTCTTAATTTTGAACATTTTTTTCATAATATGATATGTAAGTTTTTTTCGCTATTGTTTCAATAAAATAAAACCCCTTACAAAACACAACATACGTGCATATTATGAAGTTTATTGACGTGCATTTTTCATCATCAGGAAAATTGAAATTTTTCATCATAAATATTTTAACAATCATGATCAATACGTACACATATATACATATGTTCATCTTTTTATGTGTCATTTTCGATATGCACTTGAATATTTTTTAATTACTATTGTAATATAAGAAAAATACAAAACCGAATTCGGAAAAAAGATAAATTAGAAAATTATTTTTAAAATACTTATTGCATATTTGATTGTCTAATATTTTGTTTGTCTGGATATATAGATGAAAAATATAGATGAAAAATTGAGAAAAATTTGAAAATTAATATCTGAAAAGAAGACGACGAATTGAGGTTTTCCATCTATATATCCAGAAAATTTTCCTATACGAATTTTATTTCACAGGCACAATTAATTTTCCAATTGGCTTAAAAAATTATAAAATGGTTAATTCCCAATTAATTAAATCACCCAAATATAACTCAAACAAAACTTTACAAAATATCTTACAATATTATTATTAAAAGAATATCGCAAAAATGTATTTTCTTAATAATTTATTTAGAAACAAGAAGCACCATAACAGAAAACTTGATACGGAACTGTTAACAGTGTACTGTTTGAAAAATCGCGTTAAGTTTCAAGAAAACTTGCTCGTGAAAATAGTATTTTAGAAAAAAATTTTATACATCCTCCGTAACATATTATTTATGTATGCTATTTCTTAATTTTATGCATACATACATATGTACATATATGTAGCTAAACAAACTTTTTCAATTCTTAGAACTACATAAATATATGAATGTTTTATCAAGTTTTGATCAAGTTTTATCATTTTCCTTTTTTGTGAAAGAATAATATTCGACATCACTTGATTTTACAGATAATCATTATAATTTTCTTGTGTACGTATTCAAAGTAATTCTAAAGAATTTTAAAAATTACTCTGACGCAAAACATATTTTTGAATTTTAATGACATAAAAAACTTTTTACATATATAGAAATTTAATGAGTGCAAAATATGTAAAAGTAAAACTCCAAAAAAAAAAAAGGACAGAATAAAGCAAAAGAAAGTTTTGATGAACATTAATCGTGACCTTCGTATTTCCACTTAATGATTTAGCTACACAAATTATAAAAAAAATCTTGTATGAAGTTACAAATATAATTAAATAAAATAATATCTTCAATAATGGTAATAAATTTAAATTGTTACAGCATGAAGGAAAACGAAAATTACTATCAAAATTCGAGTAATGTTATTCCGGGAACAAGTATACAATTACCGACCGGCCGGGTAAACTTCATTTTACTTAATATATTTCTTTTATCATACTTCCAAAATTTTCTTAAAAAATTATCCTACATCATCCAAATGTACATATGTACTTACACATTTAATTCATATTTGACAAAAGCGTAAAACAAGAGTTTTACTACAGGAATTCGCATTTACAACTTAGAAATTCACTGAATTCATTATTATGGGCTCTGATATACCGAATCCATAATTAAATCATAATAATTTTATAGATTAAAATTCATGATATTCCAAGATTTATTACTACACCATTATTCCAGGATTTATTACTACACTATATTTAATATGAGTACTAGACCTGTATTTAATGTAACAACAACTAAAACAACTTCTATAAAGTGTAAAATTTTATTTATGATTTTGACTTTGACATAATTTTGGAATTTTATTTTTCAAAATTTTACATGAATAAAGTTGCTTGTAAATCATTTTTGCTTTTTCCATATTTACATTATTAAGTCATTTTAGTTTTTTTTTTGTTTTTGGTGTTGTTTTTTGTGTTTTAAGTCATTTCTTAAGTATTTATTATACTAATGTATGTGTCTCCAAAAAATTATTGCTTAAAAGTTATTCTATATACATGTAACTTGAATTATTGCGGCTGAAAAAATTGTCTAGCCAATTTTAATGATTTCTCTATTTCGAAAATGAATGCCTATAGACGGTATTTTAAACAATACTTTTGTTCAAATAATTTATTTTCTACAGAAATTACATATTATAAATCATAATAAAAAAAAATTATAATAGAAATGAATTTTAAATTTCTCTTAATAGATTTACTTTTAAAAACTTAAAAATACGACATTAAGAATAAAGTTAAAATACTTATTATCCGTGAAAATATTTTTATGTCGTTAAAGTTTACACAACACTTTCAATTCAAAATATTGAGTTCGTGTTAAAGAGTTTCAAGCATTTGAACAGTTTTTACTAATAAAAAAAATTAAGTCTTCAGAGAGCTATGTAGAAATACAAGAATTGTGTAGAAGTTTATAATTTTAAATAGTTTCGAGAATTTAATAAAGTCGACAGTCCTAAATTATTTGTCATTTGTCTTACTTTAATTTCACTACTAAAATAAATTAAAGTACTTTAAAAATATTAGATACATGGAACAGAAAAGTGTACTAAGAATATTATAAAAAATAGTTCCAGAACAAAAATTGTTTTGGAATGCTTCTTAAAAGTAAGAATTGCTTATGAAACCTAAAAATAAATTAGATTTAAAGAGTAAAATTAAAATTGTAATTAAAAGGTGTATAAAATTATTTCTCAATATTAAATTCCCATTTTATTATTGAATAACACAATATCAATTTAATTTAAACACATATATGAATATAAAACACGCCAAGAATGAAGTACAATTTAGGGATTTTCTCAAGAATTCAATTATTTTACATACGAGTATATTGTGGTTCGCGCAAAATTCAAGAATTCAAAATAATTAATCATTCTTCATGAAAAATTATGAGTAAATTTAGAATTTTCAAAATATATTAATTTAGATTAAAAAATTTTTCAAAGGAAATTTTTACTTTTAACAATTAATTAGTGTTTTGATGCCA